GGGCGGTCGCGTTCGGCGTGCCCGGGAAGCCAATGAGATTCTCAATTTGCGCGAAGTCAGGTGGGACTTGCGGGCCTGGGACGGGCTCTTACCGTGTTACGTTTCATTTCTTACTCCTTACATGCCGTGTGTAGCGAACAGAAAGTCAGCCAGAGAAACCGCAGCATTTCCCTGATTGGGAAAGCTCTGTTTGTAGTTGGCCTGTGTGCGCTTGCCATCAGCCTTGGTATGCCTCTGTGGCCCGCGGGCATCTCGCTTCCGGCGCTAGGGAGATTTGCATTCTTTACAATTGGCGAAAACGCCTCTGTAATGATTGTTTATCTGGAGCGGGTGCTTATGGTGTTGGGAAGTTACATCAGTGCTAAGGTCAGAGCAGTGTTACTTTGTGTGCGAGGAAAGGCAAGTGCTGCCGTCCTCGGGACTTCCCCAGGAAGCCAAGGGAAGAGGTGAGCTAAGCACCCAGAGCCTGCTGGGCTCACTCTGAAGCCACTAAACCACTGCGAGGAGTTCTGCCTCGAGTTGTACTTGACAGAACTAGGGAGGAAGTAATGCTCAAAAGCTTGCTGTGGCAGGGCACGTGGGTATGGCGTCTGAAAAACTTTAAAAGTATGTTTTGTAGTTACTGAAGCCAGTGCTCGGGCTTGGGATTGAATGATTTGCTGGGAGTGGGCAGTGGAGGTAAAAGTCACCAGAGCTAAGAGTTGTTATAATTTAAATGAATGCTTCTAACATACAGTTTTGTGACTTGGCTTGTCTAACTTGTGGCAGAGGTAGTGTGCACTGTCTTGTTTAGGATGGTACCAAAACCTTGGGTGTTCATTTTTGTGGCTTGAGATGCCTGACTAGCTGTCATAGTTCTTATCTCTGGACATTGTTGCCAACACTTAGCTGCATGCATGCTGTGTGATAATCATGGGAGTCCTCTGCTAATGCTTGAGTGCTCTTCTGCAGCCTTTTCTCTATTCTGAGTCTGTATGCTTGAACTAAAGTGTAAACTAGGACATTTTATATAAATGTGGATTTTATTAGCTAAGCTAGTTGTTAAAAGCAAAAAAAAAGATGAGGGAGTACAGGTGAGTTAATTACAAATGTCCAAAAGAAGCATGTGCTGTGTCACCAGCCCCCTCAAGATGGTATATTAGAGTCCAAATTGTTGTGAATCTGTTAAAGAATGATTTCTTAGCTAGTTATTACAAGGTCTCCCTAGTCCTTGATATGCCTGGGAAGGCAATTTTGATAACAACATGGAACAATGTTAGCATAGCTGAAAGTGACCTCGACGTGACTGGGTTACTAAGACACACACACACAGACACACAAACAGGTGTGTTGTGCATTCCTATTCCAGGTATAGTAAGCCAAGAGTCACCCCAAAGCTATTCTTACTCTTTGGAGTTTTACCTAAGTGAAAATAGAGTTGATAGTGATTCCAGGAAAACTGGGCAATAATAAAACTCAGTAGCTGGTTTGACCATTAAGTGGGTGTTTGTTTATTCAGCTCTAGGTGCACAGGGGTTTGCTCCTTCTAACACACACACCAACTATCCAAACTTTTTACTGTTTTTACATTTCGGAAAACAAAGAAATTAGTGCTCATTTGTCACAAGTTAACTAACTTCTTGATTAGTATTCTGTCCTCTAATGGTTAGTGATTCTCTTGCTTCTTTTGCTAATTAGTCCACTTTTGAGTCAGTAGGCTACTTGAGGGTCTTCCATGGGGTTTTGGATGGTCTCTGGTGGTCCCTTGTGGTTGTTGAAGAGGTGTCCACTAGTGTCCTTTCCATGGACTTTGAGCCTTCCTTCCATATATGGTCTTGGCTTGGCTCATTTTCTTGTTTGCAATTATAAAGTATTTTTTCCATCTTGGTTGACTTCTGCTGGCTCCTCTGCACTGCTCCAGGATGAGCTAGTCACAGGTGTGAGAATTTATGTGCTTGGGTGCATTATTGTCTGAGGCCCCTTGCAATAACTCCTCCTTTGAGACTTACTCAGCCTTTCACCAATTAACACTATGCTACTAATTTTGTAACATAATTAAGAACTTTGAAAGCAACAGAACTACTTGAAAGTCCTGTATAACAAGTGGAGGATGCAAATGGTACAAAGCTGTGAACAATGTAATCTGAGGCATGTTTGTTTTCCTTATATATGTTATTTCTTGTTAACCAAATTCCTATACCCTTCCTGTATTAGCAAACATTCTTCAGACTGAGTTAAATTACACCAGCTAAGCAACTGATGAGCACCATCTGAATGCTGGGTGGGGAGTGTCTGTAAACTCAGTACTTGTCCATCATCAATAGCCTAGTTTCAAATAATGATTTTATGTATGTGTGCAGGTTTCATTTTGAAGTTTTCAGTTCTCCTCATTATGCAGTATTTTGGAACATCATGACTTTCTTTTATAACTAACTTTTGTAATATGAAATCTGTTTCTCATTAGTGAGGAATTGGTGTAAGATTTGTTAATGTATTCTTTCTTGCATCTTGCAGTGATCTAGTGTAATTTTTGGTAAACAAGCATTTTTATTAAAAATTAATGTGCTTCTTAGTTCATGCAGTTTTAGTTTGGATGTGTACTTCCTCAAATGTGCATAATTTTGGTGCTTTTTCAGGTGAGATTGATGTACTTTTCACCTCTCACCATCAGTGTCACATAAGGATAAAAGGTCAGCTTGAGTAAATCAGTCTGTCGTGATAGTGTCATGGTACCTGCAATATTGTCTTCCAAGATAAAACCTTAGAGAGAGTTTGTGTTCTTTATCAGCGTAAAAAGAAGTGAAAGTGACAGAGTGGGAACTTTCAGATCTACTCACTGTCTCTTCCCAGTATGTTCTGATTCCAGGGTGCAGAAGAATATGCAGAATAGATCGGCACATTCCCCTGTTCTGACAACAGCATTTTTTGGTGCCCCCTCTGTTCCTGGTCATTATTTGATCAAATGCAGGAGTCCAATGAGAAAGGGAAATAATTACCTTTATACCTTTTTTGCTACTTAGTCACTGGAAAAAAAATGTTTTACTTGCTGGCTTATTTTTCTTTCATAATATACTTTCCTTAAGATGTTTTTTCCACACCTTTGTACAGTGCAGTCTTTTTTTTTTTTGTGATGTGTGACATTATTGTATTTTAAGTAGTACTTCCTGCTTTTTATAGGTAGGGCAGGCTCTTCCATGAGTCTTACAGAATCTTACACTCCTTACATTTCTCAGTGTTTTAACTTGAATAGATATTTCATGCAGAAATGTAGTCTTGATTGGTTTTCAGCCAAGAATAACAGTAGACAAAATTATTAAACAGTT